TGAATTCTCCTTCAGTGCCATCATTAAAAATCAATTTTAATTTGTATCTCTTTGCTTCATCGATTGCTATGGAAAACGTATTTAGCTTCATATTATTTACCACCGAGAAATTCATCTTTCGCCATTCCGTTTGATTATCAAAACGTATCGCCATCTGTTGTACGCCCAGCGGTACATTGGTATACAGTACGTTGTTTAATATAGCCGTAAGTATAATGAAATTAGCCTTTAAGATGGCCATATTTGCGTCGGTTGGATTCTTCTAAGTGGTCTAGGATAATATCTCTCAAAGCCTTTATCCCAAAGACTTAAATTTGTCAAATCTCTTAAAACTTGTTTTTTATCTTCATATAATTTTATGTCTCTTCTTAGTTTTTGAACTTTCTCTGCAAACTCTTCAATTCTACGTCTATTCTCTTCGCTAGACATTTCAATACTGAATACTATACTTATTTTACTAATATTGTCGGGTGTAGGATACGCCTCCTCTCGGAGATCTAGGTTGTTAACCTTGACGCTCGGCCAACCCAGCTGTAGTAGTAGCAGTAGTTATTGTACCCTCGATACTAGCAGAAACTAACAGTCAAACGTCAAACGTCAAACGTCAAACGTCAAACGTCAAACGTCAAACGTCAAACGTCAAACGTCAAACGTGAAACGTGAAACGTCAAACGTCAAACGTGAAACGTCAAACGTCAAAACGGTAAACGTCAAACGTCAAACGTGAAACGTCAGTCGTTAAACGTCAAACGTCAAACTTTTCGGTACACATACCTTGCGTGCGTTGCGTACGTGCGTCGCGTCCGTTGCGTGCGGCGTCGTGGCGCTGTCGTATTCGCAGCCTTTCTGGGAACGCAGGACGCCAGGACGTCGGATTCCCAGAACGGTGGATTCCCAGGACGTCGGATTCCCAGACCGTCGGATTCCCCGACTGTCGGATTCCCAGGTCGTCGGATTCCCAGACAGTCGGATTCCCAGACCGTCGGATTCCCAGGACGCCAGGGAAAAGACGGATACTCATTCGAATCTGTCGTCACGATTGCTGCCATTAGCTAAGGTCATCTGTCAACCCGTCACCCCTGTCATCGGTCGCCTTAGGTCGAAAATGGCGGGAATCCGGTACTCCAGCGATCCGTCAACTGTCGCCTGTCAGATCCTTAGTTCACGTGAACGATGGTCGCCAAGGTTAACCAACATAATTTACAATCTCGAATAGATTTTTTTTCAACGTAAAAGAGGTTAAGAATTGACGACTCCCCCATGGGGGTTATGTTCATCGTCGCGTCTCCGCGTGGTGGGCCCCCTGGCAGCCGATCGTTCAAAGCGGGGGTTATGTTCACCTCGGCGGCGGAAATCCTCATCGGGGCAATTGACGGATCGACCGTTAAAAGTGGGGTTATGTTCATCGGCGCGACTCCGCGTGGCGCGCGCCTCGTGGTGGGCCCCGGGGTCACGGGCAGCTGTCTAACGACCGTTTAAACTGGGGGTTATGTTCGCCGCTCATTGGCGAAATCCTCATCGGGGCAGTTGACGGATCGACCGTATGACACACACACGGACAGCTGATGACAGACACCTGACAGATGACAAATTCTAATCCAACCGCCAGAGGGCGCCGCCGCCGCAGCCGATGGCCTTTTTCTCCCGCGTTCCACAGCCAACAAAAACTGACAGCGAAAAGAAGAAGAATTGACAACTAATAAAAAAAAGAAGAAGAATTGACAGATGACACATTGACAGATGACACATTTAGGTTAGCCAACTTCGTGGCTATGGCCGCGCATGCGCAGTAAAAAAGTTCCCAGGCCCAAGTGCCCTGACCCCTGCTCTTAATTAATTTTTCGTTGTTTAAACAATAACATCAACAAATATCGAGTGTCATTTTACACTTTTATAATCAGGAAAGCCTACCGGACATTTAAAAAAAAATTACGAATTAAAACAATTTTGCAAACGAATGCGCCGGTATGCTCTGGTCTATGTTATTGGCTGTTTTTGATTTTCTATTTTTCCGGTTAGATGGAAGAGCAGATGTATATTAACCCCTTACCGCATGATTTTTTTGTTTTTGATAAAAAAAATGCAGTATGTGGAAAAAAATTCAGGATTTCGGAAAAAAATATTTAGAAAATTCTTTATGAACGTTTTCTATTCTTTTTTTGTTTATTTTTTTTTGCCATATATGACACAATATGCAATAATACAACAAAACATCAAAATAATATTTAAGCAAATCAATCAGAACTAAAAGTTATTCAGTATGGAACTCAAGCAGTTTCTGTCTTTGTTCAAGCAAAGATGAACAACACATTTTTCACACTTTACAAAAGATTTTTGACCACACAAATATTTGCACCTTTGCCGATTATCACACCATACTGGAAGATGGCCATATTGATCTCTTCGAACCTCTTGGATGGGAAAATCTTGTATCGGGCCCCTTTTTTTCTTGTTTTGCAAGTTATCCATGATTCCACTGGGACGGCCTCTTTTCTTTATTGAGCTGGATTTATTTAATTTACATAAGCACTCTGCAATGGCCATTTTGAAATCTGCCAGAGGTAAATCTTTGAACTCGTTTTCACTTCTTCTCCAAAGTATCCATGCATTGACAACCATCAAATCAATGATATGAAAAAATATCCTCATGTACCATTTTTTTGACCTAAGTTTGATCCTATAGTATCCTAGCATGGAATCCAAGAGATCTACTCCACCCATATATTTGTTGTAAATTGTTACAGCCTTTGGACACGGAACCGTTATATGTTTGTTATCCTTCTTCGAAAATCGTCGAACCTCAACTGTCGGTGTACTTCCAGCATATGTAGACAACATGTTTACCACTTTGTTGTCATACCATGAAACAACAGATATTTTTGTTCCATCAACTGTGGAGACTTTCTCTAGCATTGCTCCACTGCCATTCTTTTTCAGTTCACTCTCTTTTGGCATATTGCTATTTTGGCACTCTGTTTATTCTAACCGTTCTGAGCGGTAACATACCATTTTGTGCCAAGTAAATTTGTAGCGGGACGCTATTGAACCAGTTATCAAAAAATAACTTATGATTTATTTGCCTTGGAACTGTTTCTGTTAGCCGAAGAACTACGTTTGAACTCATTCCCAGATCAGGAAAACCATCGGGGAGAATATTGGTTTGCTTTCCTGCGAAAATTTCATAGTCGTACGAAAATCCGCTGACTCCACTTAGAACAAACGCCTTATAACCCCATTTGTGCGGTTTTTTTTTGGATTGTATTGCTTGATGGACGAACGCGCTTTCGTTGGAATGATCTGTTCGTCTATAGCCAAATACTCTTCCTTTGGAACTTTGAGTAGTTGCTCCCTCAGTTTTCTAAGTACAGGTCGTATTTTGAATAATTTATCATGACCAGGATTTCCGGCTGCAATAGCATCCTCATTATTCGCAAAGTGCAAAAACCGTATTATTTCTTCACATCTGTTGCATGTCATAACATCTGAGATCAAGCGGTGATTTAGGTTCAGGTTCCAATAACTTCTGGAACTAGGTAATTGGACTATTGACATATAAATACAGGTCCCTATAAACTGTTCGAGCTCCTTTTCAGTAAGATCCAGAGGTTTTTGTGGTCTCGTTTGAGTAGAATATAAGATACTTTGGTAAACTATATCAGTAATCATCTCATTTGTTAGGAAAAAGTTAAAAAATGCATGAGGAGATTCCGCGTTTTCCAACTCAGGTGGCATGTCAGTAGAACCAAGAAATTTTAGGTCCTCATCCGATGTAACTAAATTACCCCGTTCCCAAGTGGGATGATGATGATTCTTGTTTCTATTCTTACCTAGTTTACGCAACCGTTCGAGCAGAGGTAGATCGTCGTCGCTATCGGAACTGCCTTCTAAATCCGTTTCTGGGATGATAATATCTGATTGGTTATCGTTCATATCATTTTCGTCTTCGTAGTCAGAATCTGGGGCTAATTTACCAGGCGGTTCACCATCTTCTGAAAGTCTCTCGTCCTCACTACCATCTGGTACATCCATTGGCACATATCTGCTGGCACCATAAAACATTTTTGTATCCATTTTCTGAAATAAGCGAAATAATTTTAGTGTCCGGAGTGCATATTGTGCCATATATATCCACGAGAGTTTTGGCGAATGTGCATACAGTTCCAAATATGACACAACAATATTTCTCATCAAAAAAAGCAAAAAAATAAAGAATTACATGGGTCTACTTACAGCAATCCCTTCAAAAGGCTTTAGTCTTTACGTGGCTATTTTTTTCAAATCAAATTCTGCTACAGAAACACGGATGTTTTTGGATCAAAATTTGTAAAAACTGAGAACACCTGTTCACACTGCGGCCATTTGCAAATTCTATTGAAACTTCACCAAGCTGTTAAGAGATGTCGCTACACTACCAGAATTGTGAAATATATACCATATATGTCCACCTATGCATGAATAGTTTGGTCTGCGGCTTTATTTATAATAGTTATGTATGAAAATATTAATTGGGTCAAATATGACCCAAGATGCGGTAAGGGATTAACTGAAAAATAATACTTCTTCATATTGTATTATAATTATTACATACAAACTGAGTCTCGCCCTAATTATTATACAGGCAATGTAATTTTTCTTTTTATTATATTGCAATAAACACATTTATTACTATTATTATTATTGAGCTTCCATACCGTTCCCCTGGAGTCAAGATTGAAAATGTAGCATATTGTATGTATATAACACAATTTATTGTTATATTTAGTTCAGCAATGTGTCTAACAAAGTTATTACAATTTACTTATTTACGTTGATGCAGATGTTTTTGTTTTAAGATGGTAGGCATCATTTGAATGGTCTATAATTTTGAACATTAATTGTTTCAGAGTGAAACATTTTTATTTTTTAATCTGTTTAATACTCATCAATAAGGCAGAATGTTTCTTTGGACTTTCAATAATATACTAATTTACTAATAACAAAAGATAAATATAAATACTAATTTAATAACAAATAGTAACGTTTCCTTTAACGCTTAAGTACTGGTCTAGCTCTTGTTGATTGAACTGCATTAACACAAGTTCGTAGGTAATAATTGAAGCAGCGATCTGAAACACAAATATATTTTCTTCCTCTTCATTTTAATTGCTAAATTTTACTTACGCTCAAAACCAATCCTTTGGTGATGTTAAAAAAATTATATCCTGATAGAGTTGGACTGTTATTTTGTATTTGTGCAATGAACATAGCAACCTGTAATAAAAAATATAGTACAGCAAAAAGATTGGAATGGCCACCTACCACTTCGACTTAAACTACATTAAACATATGAACATATATAGTACGTTATAAGTGAATTCCTTAATCGACAATTTCTAAATTGTTGGATAAGGAAGATGGATCATATCAGGTGACCTCTAAGGGAGGTTGCAGCAATGTGAACTACGGGGGCAATGTAATCCACCTTTTTTTTTTCTAACAGCGACAACAAAGCTGCAGATTCCATTCTACTTATGTTTCTGGAATTGTTTATCAAAGTTTAGAACTAAAATGTGTTTTGTGTCAGTGTCAATGTAACAAACGTAATCAAAATCAGAATTACTTGGTAGGTAAATGTATTTCTATTTTTTAGTCTCAACACATTGTTTAAAGTATACTATATGCCAGCTATTGTTATTAGGATTTGTTATTAACTTTCAGTATAACCTACACGTGTTCAATTTAATGTCTATATGGAGCAAAGTGAACCGTTAGTAGTCCACAAACATATTTTTATGTAATAACTTTTGTTTTTCACTCATTCTAAGCTGCAGAAAGAAGTTCCTCTTCGCTTTACAGTAAATAAAAGCCTTAAAGGCTAAATAAAACAGAGAGGGACTTGAAGGATTAGAGCATGACTGAATAATGAAATAACTCGCATTACATTGCCTCCTCTTTAAGAAATAGGAACTTTCTTTTACAATTTCCAGTTGCATGGAAGTAACAAGGGACTGTCTTTGCTGTAACCTGGACACTGGATGAATGGTTGCAGACCAGTATTTAAACTCTGGTATCTTAAAATATTACTTCCTAATGATCCTCCAGTCCAGCTGATTTCCTTCTATTTTCGGCATAGCCATTTTCTGTACATTGGACTCCAATACGTGACCCTTAAACTAAGTAATGCTTTCCATACATCCTAGTAAGTGAGTCGATCTTGAAAAGTGTTTTTTGTTACTAGATAGAAAAGGTAGCGCGATTCGTCTTGAAATTTAAAGGCTTTTCCAGGGGCTGGTAACTGACATTGAAGTTCTAGCAGTCGACCAAACTTCTTACGGAACACATATGCCAGTCCTCGCGCGTCGTTGATGCTGGCGGAAGTACTATGGTCCAGCGAGTAGTTTTTCGGAAGCGAGCGCAGATCTTGTTGCTCGGTCGTAACACCATATCTGGCTTTTCCAGTACCTCCATATGCAGCCATAAATTCTTCAAAGACAAGGTCTGGTGTTTCTTGAAGTTAGTTTACTTCTTCCTCATGGTCACCCTCAAATGGCGCCAGCCTGTTTTAATGCACTACCTTCGGTCCTCGCGCGTCATTGATGCTGGTGGAAGTAATATGGACCATCAAATAGTCTTGCTTTTTCAGTACCTCCATATGCACCCATAAATTCTTTAAAGACAAGGTTAGGTGTTTCTTGGAGCTGGTTTACTTCCTCGTCATTGTCACCCTCAAATGACGCCAGCCGGTTTTGTTGCACTACCTTCGGTTTACCATTCGGGATCTTACTTATACGGTAGATGACATAATTGATTTTTTTCTTGATGAGATACAGACCTTTTCAAGACCTTTGAACCATCGGAGAATAACCTTTTTGTCTTTTTGGGTTATGAAGCCAGACTTTTTGTCGCCTTGCCTGAAACAACCTTCTGTGGCTTGGGTATCGTATCGCTTCTTTATTCTGTCGCTGGCGATTTGAAGATGCGAGCGAAATAACTCATGCATGTCGTCCATTTTTAATTGTAGTTGGATTACATAATCTTCACCGGATATGTCTTCTCCAGGTCCGCATCCAAATTCGAGGTTAGACGGTAGTCTCATTTCACGTCCCTACAGCACCTTTGTTGGTGTTTGGCCTGTATATTCATTAACGGAGGATCTATATGCCATTGCGAAGAGCGAAAGATAATAATCCCAATCTCGCTGATGGTTGGAAACTATTTTTGACAGGTATTTGCCAATGGTATTATTCATTCGCTCTATCGTTTCATTCGATTGTTGGTGCACGGAAATGTTGGCTTTCAAAATTTCTGCTCGGTCACTGTGGATCTCCAAGGGCACTCCAAATAGACAGATAAACTCTTTTATCAATATATCTGCGACAGCTGCTGCCTCTTGATTTGGAACGGCGTAGAGTTCCACTCACTTTGTAAAATAATCTATAACCACCAAAATGTATTTATTACCATTCTAGGTTACAGAAAATGGTCCAGCAATATATAAGGTGATCCTCTCAAAAGGGCTACCAACGTTTTATTGCTTCATCGGGTCGGTGGTGTAGCAGTCTAACGCGCTTATAGGCAAGTTTATGGTCCGAGACTGCCGAGATTTGAATCCCAGACCAGACCATTACTAGTAGCACAGGTGGTACATTTCTTACACCAGCCCTTTATATCATCGGAACTGTTTATCTAGTAAATCCTTTCCCGAACTTTCTGAAGGGTTTTACTAACACTAAGATGTCCTCTGGATGGACTGTCGTGTAGCTGGCAAAGTACTTCGACTACTCTTCTCTTTGGAATGATTAACTGTCTTCTGTTTTTAGAACCATCAACATTTTCAAATACTCGCTTTAATAAGCCATCTTCCATTATAAAAGAGTCCCACTGAGCCAAATATGATTTAAGTACTGGAGAGAGATTAGAGCATAACTGAATAATGAAATGGCTCGCATTACAATACCATTACATAAAAATAAAAAGGGGAAAACCAGCAATCTTAACATTTAGTCCTTATACATTGGAGTTAGAAGCTGAACTAAAAATAAAAGCTAAGGAATAAGAAACAATAAAAAAGAAACAGAAGATAAATTATTGCAAACCAAAAAAAGTAGAGTTTATAATAGTGTTTCTAAAACAAATAAAAATTTAAGATCTTGAAAATGCAGACAAGGAAGATAACGATGAATATTTTTTTAATGTAATGATTTGTATAGTTGTACTCAACACCAGTGGTCGATGAAGGTTGGGGTAGGCTGTTACAGATCTTTAAGATGAGCCCATGCTCACGAATCATGCTCAGTAACAGAGCTTGAAAAAGATGAGGCATTTAAATAAGAATTTTGGGCAGAATTTAATATTTTACGAAATGTTTTTAGTTGTATTTTATATGTTAATAAAGTTTTAATTGTAAACCTAATTTTTGTGGTTCATATTGACCCACTCCATGGGAAATATAAACTTCAAACATGTATTCATTTTTATTTTTTTTTTCTGACAAATAAGTTTTAATAATGATAGTACAAGGTTTACTGAACAATGTGAACTTATTACAATAAATTAACACATCATCCTAATAATGGGGCAACATATTTTTTTATTTTAGATAGTTCATATTGCCCCAACCTCCCCTATGCACAAAAGACATGACACCTGTAGACTTTTTTTATGGGGTTATTTAAAAACGTAGTGAGTAAAATAAGAGGCTCTAAACGATTTGCAAGGTATGTATTTATTTTATTATTTCTAATATTTGATTTTAAATCAATTATTTTGTAAAGTGTGTTGCTGTAATATAAATATTTTCGAAAATTCAGTAGAGACAACTTACGGAAGTAGCTCGCTCTAATATATCAAAAATAAAAAGATAATGGCTATTTATATCACTTTTAAAATATCGCCTTTGCTTTTATTTCGTATCTGTGAAAAGCTAGTAAATCTCATCCACGGCTACTCATCTCTTATGATGTTTTTCTTGATGGCAATTTCATTTAAGCCATTCTTTTATATCTTAACACAGCCATTTCATCGTCTTGTCTTCAGGGGTGTATTCTATTTTTTGTTTGTAAAATATTCTTTTTGGTTGATTGCTACAATACTCAAAAAGTTTTATCTAAAAATTAAGGTTGAATACCTTCGTTTTGTACCAGGACTCCCATAAACAAAGGAGTTAATAACGAGGATATAGCATAAAGCCAGGCATTTGGTTGCAACCGAGTAAGATGACTCTGCGATTACGTATTTGTTTTGCATTTAGAAGGTTGTAGATTCAAGCCTCACTGCCTAATCTGCTATGAGTTTTTTAGAATTTGTTTTATATTAACAAGCAAATTCTGTCAGTAACATGCTTTGAGATACCTACCACTATTCGTTTAACCCTATCCCCTCAGATCCGTCCTGGATCCCTACAGTGCGGCTGAAGAAGCTACAAAAGCCTATAGCGGTCAGCTGTTAACTGGGAGACTGAAATACACATCCTTAACCTAACTTTGGGTTCATACAACTTTATTAACACCAATAATATAGTCATGAAATAAGATTTACCTCTTCAGTGTACATTTCCGAAGGAACAGCATTCAAAATAGGTAAAGCAGCCTTACCAGCTTCATCCAACCATCCTCCATAGATAGAACTCATAACTGTCCTGCCTACCACGAACGAGAAGGAGCTAACAAAATATAAAATTTCGATAATTTGTTCTCTTGGCCTGAAAAAAATACAATTTAAACTCATGAAAATATTTTTGATACCGTAACTTTAAACATTTGAGTTCGTTAAGCAAATCGCATTGCAATAATAATAAGAGTCTTAGATTGGATCATTGTGGGCCACAGTGAAATAAATTGTGCTTACCTCAAACTGACAAAGAGTTGTACGAGAATAAACATCATGTTAAAAGAATATGTAATTAGAATTAGTAAACCAAATAAATCGCTGGAACTGGTGCACATCTGATACATTTGGCCGTAGTCTCTTCTAAGGTCTCTCCAAAATTTATCTCGAATTTTCTACAAACAAAATGTATTTTATTTTGATAATACATTTTAAAATACTTTATAGAATACGTTTTAATATACTTTTTAGAATAGATACATTTTAAAATACTTTCTTAGAATACTCTATAGAATACTCTTTAGACTACTTTTTAAAATACTTTTTAGTATACTTTTTAGAATAAGTTTTAGAATATATTTTAGAATGCTTTTTATAATAATTTTAAAATACTTTTTAGAATACATTTTATAAAATACTTTTTAGAATACATTTTATAAAATATTTTTTATAGAATACTTTTTATAAAACACTTTTTAGAATACCTTTTAGAATACCTTTTAGAATACTTTTTATAGAACACTTTTTAGAATACCTTTTAGAATACCTTTTAGAATACTTTTTAGAATACTTTTTAGAATACTTTTTAGAATACTTTTTAGAATACTTTTTAGAATACTTTTTAGAATACTTTTTAGAATACTTTTTAGAATACTTTTTAGAATACTTTTTAGAATACTTTTTAGAATACTTTTTAGAATACTTTTTAGAATACGTTTTAGAATACTTTTTAGAATACTTTTTAGAATACTTCTTAGAATAATACTTTTTAGTTTACTTTTTAAAATACTTTTTAGAATACTTTTTATACACTGTTTAGAATACTTTGAATAATACCACAGGCCCGCGAAAATTTTTGTACTTCTATATAGCTAAAATAACCCCCTTTTTATTCTATCACGTAAACTTCTTTTGTTTACTAGTATCGAGGATATTATCCCTGAACATCACAAACAAATTAATTTGAATTCCTTATTTTTGTTCAAAACGTTGAGACGCGTTAAAACCTCGTTTTAATTTGTGCATTTGTAGGTACTTACTAGAATATTGTTGGGGGTTCCCCGAGGCTCGATTTATTCAGGAGAGAGGGCGATATATTTAGTATCCCCGTGGTATTAAGACAGGCGTTGTCTATTGAATTCTATCGGTGTTTCGTTGTGCACTTTCTATTAATAAAATGTCTAGTAGGTATTGTAAAAATAGGCCTGATGACTTTGAAATTAAGATAAACCTTAGGCGCCACATGTTATCTGCAAGATTTGCGAAGAAGCCTTGAGGCATTGGTTTAAAGGAACAACAAAAGCCCTTCCGTTTGGAATACCAATGGTCTGGAGAGAACCGAAAAATCACATTGACGACTGCTATTTTTGTCTTTGTGATATTAAAGGTCATAACACAAAATCTCTAAAGTATATTAACTATCCTAATCTTTCGTCTGCAATAAGACCAGTTCCATATGACGCTGATATACCTATACCTATTTCACCTAAAGTATTACAGTCTATCGAATCAGAATCTTTAACAGATTCAGAAATTGACATTTTTGAGCCATCTACCTCAGGAACTTGTGAACCGCAGCTATTTTCTCAAGTAGAAATGAATGACTTAGTCAGGGATTTGGGACTTCCGAAAGACCTCTCTAAGGTTTTAGGATCAAAGCCTCAAGAAAAAACTACTTGCTCGAGGAACTACATTTTATTGCTATATAAATCGTGAGGCTGAATTTGTCAATTACTTTGCCGCAGCTGGTTCACTTGTATATTGTCAAAATGTATCTGACTTGGTTATTCACCTAGGTGCTCCTAAATACAATCCTGCCGAGTGGAGACTTTTTATAGACTCTTCAAAGAGAAGTCTTGAAGCTGTTCTACTTAATAATGGCAATTTATATGCATCTGTTCCTGTTGGTCATTCTACTCAGCTAAACGAAAATAACGAAAATCTTGAGGTACTGCTTTTAAGAATAAACTACAGACAACATAACTGGATTCTATGTGGTGACCTTAAAATTTTAGATCAACAATCCGAATGTACGAAATACCTATGTTTCCTATGTGAGTGGGACAGTAGAGCAAGAGATGACCACTGGACCAAAAAAACCTGGCCACCAAAAAAAAATTGAACGCCTGGCTCCAAAAACGTAATTGGGGAAAGCCTAGTCGATCCCAAAAAAATTTTATTACCCCCTCTACATACAAAATTGGAGCTGATAAAACAATTTGTCAAAGCTAAGACAAAAATGGTGGTTGCTTTAAGTACTTGTGTGAAACATTTCTGGGTCTCTCTGAAGCTGAATTAAAAGAAGACATCTTTGTTGGGCCACAAATAAGAATGTTGATGAAAAATAATGAAATTGAGACGGTTATACAGGAAGACGAAAAAGAAGCATGGACAGCTTTTAAACAAGTTATAAATAAGTTTCTAGGAAACTACAAAGACCCAAAATTTAAAAGTATTGTTGAAAACATGTTGGACAAATTTAGAAAGTTATGCTGTAACATGAGCTTAAAAATTTATTTTCTACATGCTCATCTTGACTTTTTTCCGGATAATCTTGGCGATGTCAGTGAAGAGCGAGGAGAACGCTTTCGCTAGGACATAAAAGATATCAAGGTCGCTGGGATATCAAAATGATGGCCGACTACTGTTGGATGCTTAAAAGGGACCGTCCTACCACATAATATGCACGAAAAACAACAAAACGAAGGTTTTCCGGAAAAAGAGAAAAATTTTTCAAGAAAACAAAGGATTAATTTATGTTATTTTCTAACTACTTCCCCGGTTTTATTGTTTATTTTCTTCGTTTATTATTTTCTTTTTTATCCTAAGTATCTATAAATATATTTTTACTTTTTGCATTCTTGTAGTATTTTGTTTAAAAACCTTACATGAAAGAAAAAACTAAAAGCAGATTTGAAATCAGCATCATTGAAATACCCAATTTCAGTTGAAAGGTCCAATTTACATTTTACAGAGTATTTAAACGCAGGCCTGTGCTACTTTTAGAGTACTTTTAGAATACGTTTTAGAATACGTTTTAGAATACGTTTTAGAATACGTTTTAGAATACGTTTTAGAATACGTTTTAGAGTACGTTTTAGAATACATTTTAGAAAACTTTTTAAAATACTTTTTAGAATACCTTTTATAATACTTTTTAGAATAATTGTTACAAAACTTTTTAAAATACATTTTAGAATACTTTTTAGAATACTTTTTAGAAAACTTTTTAGAATACTTTTTAGAATACTTTTTAGAATACTTTTTAGAATACTTTTTAGAATACTTTTTAGAATACTTTTTAGAATATTTTTTAGAATACTTTTTAGAATACTTTTTAGAATACTTTTTAGAATACTTTTTAGAATACTTTTTAGAATACTTTTTAGAATACTTTTTAGAATATTTTTTAGAATACTTTTTAGAATACTTTTTAGAATAATTTTTGAATACTTTTTAAAATAATGTTTAAAATAATTTTTAAAATACTTTTTAGAATACTTTTTAGAATACCCTTTAGAATACTTTTAGAATACTTTTTAAAATACTTTTTAGAATACCTTTTAGAATACTTTTTAGAATACCTTTTAAAATAATGTTTAGTAATATTACCTCTATTTCCACTGAATATATCGATAGTACATTAGAATGGGTTTTATTGGATTCAATGTACAATTTTATTTTATCTGTAATTTGATTAAATCGGCTGGTATAAACTAAGCTGATTGAAATGATTATCAGATCTCCAAAATTCCAAATCATTACGGTAGTCCAGCTAAAAATCTTGAAATTTATTAGAAAATGTCAATTAAAATAATTAATTATAATAAATTAGGAAATTCGGGAGTTAGTTATATAATTCACAATGAAAGTTTTAAAAATATTGTAAAAAAGAAGAATAAGAAGAAAAATAAGAAGAAAAAAGAAAGAAAGAAAAAAGAAGAAAAGAAAAAAGAAGAAGAAAAAGAAGAAGGAGAAAAAAGAAGAACAAGATGAGAAAGAAAAATTGGACTAAATTAAAGTCTTCTACTTCTTGTCCTTCTTTTCCTTCTTGAAATGTATTCACAGGGAAAAGGGATAAATTAGTAAATATTATTTTTCTGATGTTCGAAAAGTATAGTATAGTCTTCTTATTGTGTAAAATGACAAACACAACAAAAAAATATAAATTGTATAAAAAAAAGCTTACAAATAAGGTGGCTCCATTAAATATATTATAGTTAACATGATCATAAATGTAATGATACTGTTTTTTTATATAATGCTCAAAACCAGTGGCTTTATTGAGGCAATCTTGAGACAAGCTAAAACTCGCTATGGCGAATGTATGTTCAACTGAAAGTATATAAAACATAATTAAATCCCTAAATTGGCAAACCAGTACAATAATTATTATTACTAAGGTACTATTTAATAATATATATTGTAAACAATACGGGACATAATAGTGTGCCTTGTGGTAACCTATAACGAATTTTTTATTTACTACTAACTATAAGATGTTTGTGAATACTTTATTTTCTTTGAAACAGGTGACTTCTAAGCAATAATATAGTTGTTAAAGAAACTCATCCAAAAATAAAACACAGTTCATGAAATAAACTTACGTATGACAGAACAAATAGTAAGAGTAAGTATGGCATCTATTTTTGTCTTTAAATTCAAATCCGGCTTATACTTCCTTAAAAATTTTAATTCTTCAATGTAGATATGACAAATATATTCGTTCCATTTTTTTGATATGGTTATGTTTAAAATAATCGTACAGGCAATGTGACAGTAGAACAATGGTGATACTAAAAATATTTTCTTAATGTTAATATGCATGATGTAATTGAAATTTGTAGACTGTAGATCTGTAGGTAAACGAATGGCACTAATTTACTTATTATACCTTGTTATACAGGGTATTTTACAATTGAGATTCTAAAATTTACCTTTTATTTTTGATTTTTACCTATATATAATATTTTCTTTTGATTGAGCTCTTATATCTAATATTTTCAGTTTTAAATCCATTAATTGTGTTGAATTGTGACTAAGCAAAGTGTTTATTTTATATTCAATTAAGAAGTCATTTTGGCAACTAAAAACGTAATTACGTGACTTGTGACTTATCTTAAATGCCCTTTATGATATTAGTATATAACATCATTATAATATTGGTGTTTATATAATTGTTTTTGTATATGTAGGGACTGTTTTATTTCTTGATATGAGAGAAGATACGATATACCGGGTGTCCCAGATTTTTTTGCCCAGCGGATATCTCGGTTATTTAATGATATAAAATTATAAAAAAAAATATGAATAATATTTGTCTAGTAGCCTTTTAAATTCCACTACATAAAGTTATATTCATCAATCCACCCCATAGGAACAACCCCTAACTTTTTTTTTTCAAATGTCATCCCTATATTTTTTTTCGCTGATATAAATACTCAATTTGTGTAATTTCTGGTGTAATGTTATTGCAGGCTTGTACTATTTTATTTTGCAAATCTTCTAAATTCAATGGCTGTGTTTCAAATACCACGGTCTTCAGATATCCCCATAAAAAAAAATCTAGAGGCGATAAATCTGGTGAACGCGCAGGCCACCTCAAAGGGCCGCTGTTTCCGATCCACTGATTTTCAAAGCGTTCGTTTAAAAATTGGGTAACTAAATTACTATTATGTGGAGGAGCTCCATCTTGTTGCCACCACATAGCACCTCTTTCTTGTATTGGAATTTCTTCAAGAAGTTCTGGAAGGTAATTTTCAAGAAAGTGTAAGTACCTAGCACCAGTTAACGTACCTTGAAAAAAATAGGGACCTATCAGTCGTCCCTGAAATAATCCACACCACACATTTACTCCCCAGATGATCTGAAAGTTAGTTTCCCTAACCCAGTGAGGGTTTTCAGGAGACCAATAATGCATATTGTGACGATTTACAGTAGCATTATTGTGAAACCTTGATTCGTCACTCCACAATATCTGGTTCAAAATGTTGGGATTTCGTTCCATTAAATCTTCAAAATGTGCTATTAATGTTATCCTTCTTTTGAAATCTCCAGCTCTAAGTTCCTGATGCAAATGAATTTTAAACGGATGAAAATTATAGGATTTTAGGATTCTTTGTACTGACGACTTACTAATATGAACCTCGTTAGCTAGGTTTCGCGTCGATATCTGGGGATGTACTTGCACATAAGCTAATACATTAATGCACATTTCTTCAGTTCTTACAGCAGTAGCATGTTGACGATGTTTGTCTTTTCCTGGAAATGACCCTTCTCTCATCCTAGTCTCAACATAAGAATATGTTTTACGTGATGGTTGTCGGCGCTCAGGAAACCTCTGTTGATACAAGTGTACAGCAGCACGAGAATTTTTTTGGCACTCACCAAAAATTAAAAGCATATCAACATATTCGTTTGGAGTGAATGTAAAGGGCATTTTGTCTGTTGTTTATAGCTAGCGAACAATTTCAGAAATGGTCTAAGCATATCGTTAGTTAGTTATAGGTAACAAAAAAAAAAAACAAAAACGAAGCAATTCTAATCAAAATAAAAAGAAAATACCAGGTGATACAAAATTAATGACTTTAACCACAACATTGGTTTTTAGTCTTTACCGGCTTTATGACTCTGTAAAGTATATCAAATATCATATCGTTGCATTCGGGACAAATTGAGTATTTATATCAGCGAAAAAAAATATAGGGGTGACATTTGAAAAAAAAAAGTTAGAGGTTGTTCCTATGGGGTGGATTGATGAATATAACTTTATGTAGTGGAATTTAAAAGGCTACTAGACAAATATTATTCATATTTTTTTTTTACAATTTTATATCATTAAATAACCGAGATATCCGCTGGGCAAAAAAATCTGGGACACCCGGTATTTACAAATTGGACTATATATGTAATAGAAGTTACTCAGTTTCTTATTCTTAAATAAAATAGTTGCTTCAAGAATACAAGTTCAGAAACAAAACTTCAACAATACAAGTCCAAGAACTTAACTGCAAGAAATAACTTTAAGAACACAAGTGCAAGTTCGAGTAACTCCAAGTGCGAGTTATTTTACGTAAAAGTCTAAGTCCAACTCCAAGTCAAAACTATAAAACATAACTCCATCGGACACAATCTAGTCTAAAAATTGGCTCCAAGCATATATGTACATCCAATATATTGTTAATATAATAATTCTCTTTTGGCACCAACAAGCAGCTAATTGCAGAACTACATAGCATATGCGCATTACTTAGCATAACATGCGCATTAAGTGGTTTTCAGACAATGCTGCATCAATAAACAGTGACGGATTTATTTCTGATTTTTCTTAATTAATTAGGAGTTTTGATTTTCTCAAACATATATTACGTTCAGCGTTGGTCTTATAGGTAATCTTATAATACAGCCATAGGTATATAAGAAATTTAAGATTTTTTCAGCGACCGAATTTCTATTAAAATGAAAAATTTTGTTTAAAATTTTGTTCAAGTTTTAATATTTGATTTGTCAGTGTTAATTTGTATGTTACAAAAAATACCCATATAGGATAGTTCACAAGAATGCAAGTATAGTTATAGATAAAAGGTTATAAATAAAAAGTTGCCCAATTAATGCCTGATTTTGACAATATTAAGAGATGGAATAATACACACGGAAAAAAATGTGACTAGAAAATTTTACTACAATGTTGTAGTAGTAGACTTGTAGAAAAATACTTAACTTTTTGTAGAAAATTTTACTACAATTTATAGTTAAAAACTATTCATTATTGTAGCAATTGAATTGTCGAATAAAATGCTACAACAATAGGAAAGAAGTCCACAATGTTCAGTATATTTTACTATTGTTTATAGAAGTAGAAATTTATTACAATTATCGTAATTACTACTATTAACTTCTGTAAAAATTTGTACAAATATTAATAATTATCTCTACAAAAAATAGTAATTATCTCTACAAAAAATAGTAATTATCTCTACAAAAAATAGTAATACTTTACATCCCTTCTTGTGAAACAAATTCAATTTTGTTTAAAAATATTCTATAATATTGTAGAAATTCTAAGTCATGTGAATAAAACAAAATTCTGCTGTTGGCCAACGTTTTCTGCCGTCGATCATAAATGGCCAGACAGCAGTAGCCGTTCGCCATGTTCACAAAACAAAGCATGGTACATATACGAGTACCTATAACACATTATTATAAGCACCGATGCGTTTGAAAAAATTTTAATAATAACTTCTATTAGTGGTAAGTACATTTATTATTGTTTCTGAATAATTTACCTTTAGATAACTAATTTAATTATGAAAAAAAAAAAATAGTTGTGGTCAACGATCGAATGTTGTGCCCAACGATCGAATGTTGTGCCAAGTTCAATGATGTTTTTTTGTCTTAATTGTGACATACTTACTTTCTCATTTTTGTTAGTTATCTGACTTAGTCATTTAATATCCAAATCAGTGTAAAGGTGATAAATATCCCCATTTTAAGGGTATGAACGGTTCAATAGGTATTAATTTTTATTTCATATTTTTCAGGTGCAGAAAAGCCAACTCAGACTGAGGGCGCTATTATTGCTGTTATTTATTACATAATGTAATTAAGACTTTGTATCTTTTATATTTAAACAATAAATTAAATATTTTATTAAGGAACATTTTTTCTAGGTTATAAATATAATAGTTATAAAATACTACTACAAATTTTATTAAAAATTACTACAATTTGTATGAATTTTTACTATTTATTGTGTAAAATTTTCGTATTTATTTATAGAAAACGCAATACATTTTTAATATAAACTCATATAATTAATAGCAAAAATTATAACAATTTTTAGAACAATTCTTATGATGCATTTGGATATATAGATAATAACTCTACAATACATTCTCTACAAATATTTGGAAATTTTTACTACAAATTTTCCCTGTCCCTATATGTACTATTTATTGTAGAGAAAAAATGTATAATTGTAGAAATTTGTTCTACAATTTTTTTTCCGTGCACGGTCAACGAAAAAATATGTATAATTGGTTTAAAATAATATTGGTGAATAAAAAACCAAATAGGTTTTGTTTATATACATATAGCTTTGCCTTTCAATGGACACCTGTTGTTGTTGTTGTTGTTTTTTTTTTTTTGTTTTTTTGTTGTTGTTTTTGTTGTTGTTTTTGTTGTTGTTTTTGTTGTTTTTGTTGTTGTTGTTGTTGTTGTTGTTGTTGTTGTTGTTGTTGTTGTTGTTGTTGTTGTTGTTGTTGTTGTTGTTGTTGTTGTTGTTGTTTATGACAGGTATAAGACGGGTGAAAAATAAACAGCGCATCTACACTAAAATAGTAGTTAACGGCGCCGTAAGCGGACTGCCTTACGTCTTTTTTCTTTGTTGACTTTTTCATTGGCATTTCAAGAGTATTTTGATATAATTTAAAGTAGATTTTGGTTCGTGAACAGATCAAACTACTGCTAAACTTACTTTAGCTGGTCAATTCTTAGAATCTTTGCAACGTTTAAAAATTAGCAAAAGCGTCACTGTGCTCGTTTAAGTTTTAAATACGGATCTGGTTCGTTTAGAAATTCTCAACATAGTTCTTGGCATGAGATTGTCTTAAAAACTGCTATTGAGCGTTTTTACTAGATCCGTTTTCGAAAGGAATTTTAATTATTTAACTGAATAAGTCTAGATTAGTTGTTTAGTGCATTTTATAAGTTATTTAGGGATTTTTATGTTTTGCAGAAATTTTAAACCTCATTTGTTTTTATATGAGATTGATTTGTTGACCAGACCAGAAACATTGTCCATAGGTGAAAATAAATATTAAGTAGTGCTTATCTTTAAATAAATTAAACTTTTATTTGTTGCTTGATGTTTTCAGAAGCGTTATCAAATAGGTTTTTTTCAATTCTAGCAAAAACTTCTGTTTATTAGAGAAAAAAAAAATATGTGAGTTGTTTGGTTTAAAAATATTATTCCTACATTCCTATAACAAGCCACTAAACCCTCAATTAATGACGTACCTGTATTCATCTAATTGTTATTGGACCCTACCTAGAGTATCTTGGATATGCCACTGCTTTGTCTAGGACAGGTGCGTACTTTTAATTTTTTTTAAGATCAGATTTAGTAAATATATTATTTTTTTATTTTCAAATTATTAATCGTCAAATCAGGTTTGTCACTATCCCAATGAATAAGTACTGTCACGTTTATTGTATTCAAAATGACAATGATTTAGATATACTTTAACAATTTATCTTTATTCGGCATTTATATACAAAAATATATTGGCCTAGAAAAATTCAGTCCTCTCTCAAAGAATCTCGATGCTAGTCTAGAACTTCTCGAAATACTTCCTCTATGAGTCATCCCGCGCGCAAATCATCTTCCAGTAACTTTTCGAAGTGGGCTGCTAAAGCGAAACATAGACGGCGATAAACGTAAACAAAGAACAAGGCCGGACTGGTTGCACAATACATATTAAAAATAACAAAACTATTGAAAATAAATAAAATTACTTACTTAAACGATGCATTACCATAGCGGCTGAAAAACTCTTTATAGACGCAAGTAAGCAACAAATGGTGGTTCCAACACACATCAAAATCGTTAAGAGCATCTTAATAGAAACAAACTTGAACTTGTGCTTTTCAGGATTATGATTCATTAACCCTTCCACCGGAAAAATATTTAAACATCTTCCGAAAATTAATAAACTTCTTAAACAATAATGCGACATTTGACGTTTAACATCTTTATCGACTAGTATCACGTTTTTAGGTATCACTAACGTTTTTTTGTTTTTCGTTTTCATCTTTTCCGTTAGCATTTGTTTTTAACTGGAAAATATTCAATAACGATAACAGTATGTATTCTAAAATAATATTCAATTCAACGTAAACACATTAAAATTATTGTTTATGAAAATCGGAGCTGTCCAATTTAACTACACGTTACTTTTTATTATTGTTTACATTGAATTTCTAAATGTATGGGGTGGTCGTTTTAAATATTTTAATATATATTATACTGCATATGAATATGGAGTGATCTACAAAAAATGTGTGTTTTTCTTTGCATCACATGGAAAAATTTTACGCTTGCACGTTTTTTATGGACTCCTAATGACTAATGACTAATGACTATTACAAATTTCTTTTAAAAATTATCAAAATTAATTCTTTACGAAGGTTTATAAAATAAATCACTATACGTTTTGTTATTATTGGTATTTCCAAAAAATTTCACAAAAATCGGACTAAAAATAAAGGCTCAAAAGGAATTAGAAATGTTTGCAAATTATTTAATTTTTCCAATTTTAATGCCTTTCTTAAAAAAAAAATTAAATTAAAAGGTATTGGATGACAATTTCACAGGGCCGTGAACTTGGCACCACAACATTGCAGAAATGGTGCAAAACTTTATAGGAGGATTGCCCATGGTTTACCCACGTTTGCTCATCAATTGGTTTCTTTTGTAACAAAACAAAAATATAAAACAATATAAAAAAATATAAAAAATTACAAAAATTGTGCATTAGGTAATCGTTAGTTTGGCATTTTTTTAGTTATTCCAATTTGCATGCCTTTCTTCGAAAAAAAAAAATTAAATTTAAAAAGTATCGGATAAAATTTTACACGGCCGAGAACTTGTTATGGTTTGCCCATCAATTGATTTATTTAAAACAAAAAAAAAACAAAATATAAGAAAAACAAAAAAATTACAAAAATTAAATATGATAACTACATTTCGTAAGAATTCGTTTACTGATGTTCACCCATTTTTTAGGTTTTCCAATTTTCATAAAATTTTATGAAAAAATTTTTATGATATTGAATATTATGAATATTATAGTCCAGGGAAGTTAGGAAAAATAGCGGAAATTTTTAGGGATAGCAGATATCGAGATGCGGTTTTCTGCATTGTGTTCAGGAAGGTCCCAGGAAAAAAGGCTATATTGCTTTGTTAAGCCATTTCTTTAAAAATGCCTTCTGGGCCAGAAAATGCATTTTCCAAGTGCATCATTATTTGCACCATTATAGGCACGACTGGAAACTCGAAAAAATCGCTCAAAAATCGTTACTCAGGGGTTTTCGAGACTGACGAACTCGATAGTGGCATTATAATTACCAGGGGACGCAAAGGGGTGGCTCTGTGGGGGGGGGGGGGGCGCACAGGGATGGCTCTGTGGTGGTGCGCGGGGTTGAATTTGAGAGAAATGGCAGCGTGCATGAAAATCGCTCCAAACTCATTACTCGAGAGTTTTCGGGGATGCCGAATTCAATTCTGGCATTAGAATTACCCAGGGGCGCTCGGGGGCAGCTCGGGAGCGATTTTCATGGACGCTGCCATTCCCCCAATCATCTTCAGACAACCCCACAGTGGGACCCCCGAGCGCCCCCGGGGAAGTCTAATGTCAGAATTGAATTCGGCATCCCCGAAAACCCCCGAATAACGAGTTTGGAACGCTTCCCATGGACTATGCAATTTCCCCCCAGACTGATTCCCCGGATACCCCCGTAGAGCCGCCACCGGATAATTCCAATTCCAGAACTGAATTCGGAATTCCCGAAACCCAACGAGTAACGAGTTTGGAGCGATTTTCATGCACGCTGCCATTTCTTCCCAATTCACCCCTGACGCACCCACATAGAGCCTCCCCAGGTAATTCTAATGCCAGAATCGAGTTCGGTAGCCCAGAAAATCCCCGTGTAACGATTTCCGAGCGATTTTTCCGAGCTTCAAGTCTTCCTATAATAGTGCAAGTAATGATGCCCAGAAGGCATTTTTCAAAAAACGGCTAAACTAGATGATATAGACTTTTTTCCTGGGAAATTTCTGATCACAATGCAGAAAATCGCATCTCGATATCTGCTGTCCCTAAAAATGTCCGCTATTCCGGTCGATTTTGATATAAATGCCCTGGACTATTACCAGTACTTTTATACGTGTTTGTATCTTATAAAAATAAAAAATTAATTATAAACCACCAAGGAATGTATTCTGGGAATTGTTTTTTTTATTTTTTCATTTTTTTTAATATTTTTTGTTTGATGAACAAACGTGAACAAACCATAGGCAATTCTCTTACAATTTTTTGTACTATTTCTCCAATGTTGTGGTGCCAAGTTTAGCATGCAAATTTAAAAAACTAAATAATGTACAAACAAAGATTACCTAATGCCTAATTTTTATAAATAATTTTTTGTTTTTTTATTAATTTAATTATTTTTTTTTTTTTTTTTAAATAATTGATCACAAAAGTTGGCAAATAGTATGCTATTATTCTATGGAATTAAATTATCATAATGTTTACTTTTGTTTGTAAATTAGACCGCAAAATTTCTTTTCGGCATATTTTGAAGACAGGGTAGGTAAAAAAATAATTTTATGGGCAATAATGGGCAAACGATGGGCAATCCTCTCACACATTTTTGCACCATTTTTGCAATGTTGTGGTGCCAGTTTACGGACCTATAAAAGTTCGGCAACGGCCATTCTTCTCGTAGGTACATGTATCAAAGTGGTTAAAATTTGGGACATAGGGGTGAAAAAGGTTTTATATTCGTTGATATTTGTAACGTTATCAGACTTACCGCTTATCTGTTAATGACACTATCTTTATATTTTCTTGTGTAATACCATGTATTATTAATTTTTCTTGAATTTCTGAAGCAAATAATAGTATGTTTTGATGATAAAAAAAGTTTTGAACCCAGTAGAGCCACAGGAAAGAGTAATTAAATTTCGTAAAGGTAGCCTAACTTCGTGTACCTTGTAATATTGCATTGACCCGTTGCAGTGCCAATTTACAATATATTACGTTGCCTTGTGATAAAATGTTAATTTCAAAACGCTTATAAGAGATTTTTACTAGCTCAGTGAAATTTAATATCAAACACTACTTACCTTTAAAAATTAAAAGAAATAAATGAGCACATTGACCATATGTCTCAGTCGTGAATTCGGCTTTTCTAATAGACACCTTTGGGGTAATAATTTTCTAGGAAATGTTGGGCACCAATAATGATCTTTTTTATATTTTTAAAAGCTAGTGAGAATTATAAACTCTAGCTTTATCAAAAAAAGAAGGTAATAAAAACTTAATTTGAGTAAAAGAGAATTGTTGTAACCTTAAAAAAGAAACTGTTCAGGAACAAGTCATTTAAAGATTATCAGGTAATAATTTTTTTATCTCGTCATACATAAAATTAGCCACTAGTAGTCACCACTTTTGCTTTTTTGCTGGCAACTTCCTTCGGAGGTAGTTGAAATTTCTACAAATCGGGAACCAACGCCGAGTCTCGCATTTCCATATTTCGGTTACTCGAACATGAACAGTATACCTCGTTCTTTGTTCTTGTTCTTCTTTGTAACTTTTTGTGAGTTTTAACTGTCGGCTTTTACTAGTTAGTTTTCATCAATTGATTCTCCAGCTTTTAATTTTCAGCGTTTAGTTTTACAGCTGCACTTATACGTTTTCTAAACAAAAATAGATTCTGTTTTTCACGAGATATAAATTAAATTTGAAACATCTACTTTTTAAAAATGAATCAAGATACAATAAAAACTAATGACTATAAACATTGTGCCGTTCTAGCAACAAGAATGAATCATAAGGACATAATTAGAAAAATTTAACTTTACTATCAAAAAAACTAATAACTAACAATAGGTTTAAATATTATTTCTACCGAGATATTTTAGAATGACATACTTTTTTATGCTTACCACTTTTACAGCCAAACACCACCAGATATGAAGAGAGAGCAATCGTAAATGAAATTTAAAAATCTAATGCGAAATCGTTTGGTTAACTGTAGTCCCACTTCAAGATATTTCCCTTTCTTTGGAATATTGCGTGCGGCGATAATTTAAATTAATCAAAAACTATTTATACAGGATGGCACATATTTAAAATAACATTTTTAACTGGACTTTTAAAATAATACAACCTTATAAGAGAGGTAATCAGTAAAACTAAATAATAATATAGAGCAGTGATACATGACACTGGCATTTTTACGTTTTACTGGTAATTATTACTAGTAAGGTATATATACATTGCAGATAGCGGCTTTCTCTAAAAATTGTAATAAAATTTTTCTGGTACTCTGCTGAAATCAAATTATAATTATTTTCATCCAAACGTACTGTTATTCAAGGAGTCCGAAAAATATATGGTGTTACATAGGAAAATCAAAACTTAGTAAATAAATCAGCCTATTTTTTGAAGGCAGTTCATTCTCGTCATAATTGTGTGTAGGGGGTGAGTTGGATCAGTGGTTAGATTTATGATTTTAAGATCGAAAGGTCTCAGAATCGAATCGCACCGGTGGCAAAAATTAATTCTAATGCATAGGTAGGATTCCCCACTCAATCATTCATTGTTGGGTTCTTATTAATAGTGCTGTTCCTAAAGTGGCGCTACGAAACAGCAACACACATAAATGAGAAGACACAAAACACAAACTGAGACCGGCATATTAGGGGTAAATAATTAGGCCATAAAACGAAAAAAAAACAATATTAATTGCGTGCAATATAAAATTGTATTTTCTCTATTATAATTAGTTTTCTTTTCTAAATATTTTCCATAACTCTAAAATTAGGACAATATAACTATATATTTACCTAAAATACAATAATTTATAATCCTACTCCTTACCTGCTTTATAAATTTTTATTTATTAAAACAATCATTTAAAAACCTTAAATAATAAAATCACAAACTATCTGGACCCCGTACTGCATTAAAAACCCGTACTATGGATGTTTGGTTTATAAAAAATAATAGACTTTTAGTCATTTTGTTCATATTACGATTTC